CCACTTGTTCCGGTCGATGGCTCACGCCCTGGTCGAGCAGCACTTCACTCCTTACGAAGAAGCCAAAAATTGGATCGATTCATAGGTAGCCTCAAAAGATGAAGAGTTTTTCGACGTGGCATCCGAATGCTGCCAGAAAGATGGCAAAAAGTAGTAGCTAGTAACGGACAATATTTTGAATAAAATGTAACGTATATTTTTTTTTACAATAAATTGATAATTTTTATAAAAAAAAACGGCGGAAACTTATTTCTATTACCAATAATACAGTCGGATTTAACGTAACCAGAAGGTTTAACGTATCGGTATAGTGAGAAAAACAACATTATATATTACAGGGAAGAGAATAAATACGCAGTGTATGTGTGTGTTTTGAGGAGTTAAGTGGAATTGCAAATTGAATTGAAACGATTAAAAATAATGTTTAAATATGAAATAGAGACTTACAATTTAGGTAAATCAACTGTGGTGAATAGTATGTAGAAAACAGGTTCGTTGATTGTGGTGTACCAGATTTATGGGATCCCGGAATACGGAGAGAAATAGTTCACTTAGGAGATCTCGACTTGCGCAGCAGTTGTTCGGCAGCAGAAAGCGAAGCGAAAATGACTCATTGGCTGACACTGACTGAGTGACACTGGGTGACTGACTGGCAGTGACTGATCACGGTTAAATCGAGCGATTCTGATACTCGGACTAATTACCGGAATATCGAAACGAATATCTTTAAGAAATTCCGAGTTACGTACAGCAAGTTTCACAAAACGGCCAGCACTAGAGAGATCCCGATCTGAACAACTGTAACGGTGAGTTTGCACCGTTGCTCCCTGCGACCCGACCGACCATCCGTCGGGTCGCTCGCCGGCGCTTTGCGGCATCCTAAACGACACGACACGCACGTGATGCGCTTCCGCCACGCGCGTGATCACGTGCGTGTCAATAAACATAAACAAACAGCCTCCGTCGGATATATAATCCGACCGGCGGAGGCATCGAGAACCGATTCCACCCGAGTCAGCCAGAGCGACACGTTCACGGTCTGCTCCGGATCCCGTCCTCCATTGCCGAAGAACCGAGGCGGTGTGTTCGCCGTTCCAGCTGCGTGTTTGTAGCCGCACTCGTAATCCCGACTTGCCGAGGAACCGAGACGGTGTATGCGTCGTCCCAGCTGCGTGTTCGCAGCCGCACTCACCATCCTTTCTTGGGACGGTATACTACCGTCTCCAGCGGGAGTTCCCAGTTCCTAGCCGGCCTCCGACCGACCAACATTCGGCCCGACAAGTCCGGAGTGGCGACTGCGCCGTCTCTGCCGAATATTCTCGGCCAAGTGTCGGCCGAGTGGTCTTGTCCTGTGTACCGCCGATTTAAAGGGACACCGGATCCCTCACGTTACCATGCCAGGTTGCATGCGAACAATCAAGAGAGCGAGTACTAGTAGTAAGAATCCGCGGGAGCGAGCTTCAACGGGGACATCAACGGGCAAGGGAGTGGCGTCGTTCGCCGTCTCTGCAGAGCGTTCTAGGCCCCGAATCTTCTGACGAGGATACGCCACAGAGAACACGCCGACCGTTTTCGTCACGCCGCACTTCTCTTCCGGCCTCCCGGTGTCGTAGTCTCCACGGGGAGCACACGACACTGCAGGAGCGCGGGCGCGATACCGCGGGTACCTCCTGATTGTCGTACCGTTCCCGACCCCGTAGGGACTCTGGGCTCGGAGAATGCCTCCGCTTTTCCGTACTACCTGCGCATGGCTACCGATGGCACTCTCTGCGGCATTTAAAAGACATCGGGGAAATATCGTGGAGATCCGTGCTGTCAGCGACAACATTAGCCGAGCGTTCAAAACACCGCGCCCGCTCCCCGCGACTCGTCCGACCGTCACTCAAGCGGCAACCGTATACATATCACCGCGACTGCCAAACCGCGTCCGCCGTCCCGCGCCACCTGTCTCGCCGCGAAACGCGAACAATCAGCTGTTTCGTCAAAACAGACACGCGACCGACGACAGCAGTAACACGCTCCGACGCATCTAGCGTCTTACAAGGAAATTGTTAATTAGAACATCGAGCTAACATCCGCTCGCACATGAATCTGTATCTGCGAATAAATCGTTTTATCGAACAAAACTCTCTCACATACTTATTAGGCGAACCCAGCAATCCGGCGAGCCAATTTCGGGCCAAAACCGCCGCGTCAACGAGCTGCCCGCTCGCCCTGAACGGTCCTCTCTCGCACCGCTCCGGAAAGACGTTCCCTCCTCAAAGGGTAGAAGTTAGCGTAACAGAGAAAGGTGGAATGTCGCGCAACAAAGGCGAAATTTTGGCGGAAGCCGTAGTGGCACGAACGCATAAGATGTTGAAAACGATAATACGTGACAGTAGTCAAACGGGCAAAGAGAGTGCTCGTGGCAAAAGAGTGAGGTTTATAAAAGAAAGATTTTTGGAGGTGGCGGATGACGATCGCTAATGAGAGAAGGTTGCGTGGAAAGCGAATATATAGGATTGGAAAACGGACATTCTGGAAAATTCCTAATATTATCTGGATGTCATAAATGATCCTAACAACCTAATCCTATCAAAGGGCTTAAGTCCGACCGACTATATATAAAGGCGGATGAGATCGCAGACGCGTAATCGTATCTTTATTACAACAGCGCTTGCCCAAATCCGTTTGTTTCCCGATCATAAAAAAGGAATTTGCTGCTCTCAAGGTACCCAGAATGAAACAACTACGTGCCTTACGTAGAGGTGTCAAGATCATCTTAATTATAGAAAAAAAAATTCATTGTTCCCGGGGTATGTAATAAAACTTCGTATCTTACGTGAAGGCGGATAGGATGACACACGCGTTAGGAAACATATGGCGCATTTAGCACGAGCCATCGTAATCTTATCCTTTTTACAATAGCCCTTACCCGAATTCCGTCTGCTTCCCAATCATATAAAAAAAGAGGAATTCGTAATTTCCGAGATACCCAGGACGTAACAGGAAAATATCAAATAATTTTTGTCAGATATGGAATTTCCGAGATAATAAGAAGTGATTTCGGGACTCAAATAGCGTCAAAATTTCGACGATTTGTAAAGGAATATGATTTCGAACATATTACAAGTTTCCCTACAGAGTAATGGAGCCGCAGAAGCAGCTGTGAAAATTACAAAAAACGTCAAAATGTAAAGATAATATACGTCTAGAATTACACGTATATGGGACTACGCTTTTAGAAAACGGTAATACTCCTGCAGAAATGTTATTTTCAAAGTACATTTGCTCTTATATGCCATTAACGCCAAGTAGATTGGGTTCGTTTATAGATTATAAAGATATTTTAAGGGAACGAATAGAGCAGAAGAGTAAAAATATTACTATAAAAAGAGATATAGATAGAGGAAACTGTCAGATCTTGTAGCAGGCGATCGAGTATAGGTGACAGATATCCGCACATATGCGAACGTCGTAAGAGAAGGGAAAGGCCTTAATTCATTTATCATTCGTACGAATAGGGGCAGTTTGCTATGTATAATGAAAATAGATGGCATTTAGTTTTAGCGCCTTGGAAAAAAGATATTACAACGAACAGTAAACCACAAATGTCGGAACTTAGTAATACGCAACGATCTGAAAACATCGATGGGGGGAGGGGGGAGATAACACGTTAAAAACCAAAGATCATACCGACTTAGAACCAGCTCGTTATGAGGCACAAAAAACCGAAATAGCGCTAGAAAACGATATAGTAGATAAAGATTTCGGAAAGAACGAAGTAACCACATTACCACGCCGGTCGGAACGCATTAAAAAACATAATAATTTCCTTCGTGATAATTTTATTTATTAATGTTTTCTATATTATCGTAGCACCTGTACTTATTAATATTTCCTATATTATTGTATATTTTGTAACGTCTGATTTTGTCATCTAAATAAAAGGGAAAAAGTGTTATGTGCACGTGTGGTGCGCAGGTCTGGAAGAGCGACAGAACAAAACGCCACACTAGGCATGGCGACGCATCCCACGTAAACAAAAAAGGAAAGGTATTCTGTCTTCTCCGGTGTAACAATACAGTAATTTATCTTGTCTTTTGCCTGGCGGTTTTGCACGGGTCGGACAAAACAGTAGATCGGCGTGAGCGACGTGTAAACGTTGCGGATACTCTAAATCGACTTCGAGAATATAACATATGGGAGAATCTAACGCGATTAAAGACACTGTAATGATGCATCCCCCCCGGCGAAAACCGCGGCCGACCGATCATCCGTCGGCCGTCAAAAACGGCGTTCAGCGCCCATAAACAATTTCACACGCGGCGCACATTTCCGACACGTGCGCACGTAGGCAACAACAATTGTTGCCAAATACACACGTGTCGGAAAAACCGGGCTAAACCCGATATAAAAGACCGCGCCGCCGTGCTATCGAGGCCAGATTCCACCGGAGTCAGCCGGGATCGCAAGATCACAAGCTGCTCCGGATCCCGTCCCCTAGGTCGAGGGACCGCGACGGTGCGTACGCCGTCTCTGCTGTGAATATGCAGCCGAATCGAGATCCTATCATCCGGAATGAACGAGGTCGTGCGTACGCGGTCTCTCCCGTGGATGTCACGGGCATCGGATTCCTAACAACTTCCATTTCGGGACGGTGTGTTCGCCGTCTCCACCGGGAGCTCCGGCTCTCTCGCCCGTGGCAGACCTGAGGATCGGCACGAGTCGGGGTAGTGTGTTCGCCGCTTCTGTTGAGCGTTCTCAACCTCGGCCCCTTCACTCTAGTCATTGGGCTTTGCGCCTCCGGCATGCGAGCGCCCCGGAATACCGTTCCGCGTACCACCGCGACTCTAGAGACGACGCGTATCTCTCCGCCGCACCTCACCGGAGATACCACTGACCGCTGCGAAACCGCGAAGCTACCGCCGTCAGCTGCACGTTGGCCAGGCTCGCCCGGCCGACTCCACCGCTCCTGTAAGGAGGCGCGATACCGCGCGTTCTCCGCTCCGGGAGTCGACTGACGCGGGCACTCCACGTGCGGCAACCACCGCGACCCGCGACCAGCGTACCGCGACGCCGAATCCTGCAGGTGCATTCCGCCGTTGCACTCCGATGCGAAACCGTCGACTGTAAACACCGCGAAACGTCAAACTACCGCGCCGAACGTCAACACCGCGCCCGCTTTCCGCTGACACTGCGAGATCCACGAACCGAGCGTCACGTCTGCTCTAGATTGATTTCGGGAAACCCAATCCTCCGAATAACTGACGAAGCCGTCAATACATGACCACGATATAAACACGGAATTCCATTGCCGACATTGTCATCGCAATGTTTACCAGCGTTAAAAGGCAGAAGTAAAGCGCGGCCTATTGCTATTCGATTTGTACAAAACAACGTAGGACATAATAAAATAAACGGCGTAATATTTAAACACTCGCTTACTCACTCATTCGCGCACTCACTCACTCGTCTACGCACCCACTCACAACAAGACACGTCTGGACATCCGGCGAGCTACGCCAGGGCCACCGACACCGAGCACGGTCGACCGGTGATACCGGAAACGACCACCCCGCCGGCCGGGGCGGGACGAACGTCCACCGACCGACGGGGCACGGGTCACAGCACAATAAAATTTGAAATATTAGTGAACTACTGAAATTTAACGTAAGGAAATGGTTGACACATTGCCCATCCATATGTTATTAGGTGAACAACTTTGCTCCCGCCGTTTTCCTATAGATGGCTTTAATGGAACTTAGTGGTCAAAGTAAATAGATCATATACGTCATACAATCAACTTGGGCATCTGTCAACATAACCTAATAGTTACATTAGTCGATTTGTTTCTGTACCATAAAGTTATCGTCGATTGAAGATGTCAGTTTACGAGCCAAATTCTTGTCATTGGCGGGAGGTTTTACTTTTCTGCTTCAATATGAAGAAATCTGCGGCTGAGGCTGAGATCGCTATTAATGAAAGAACGTGTCGTGAGTGGTTTCAACGCTTCACGAACGGTGATTTTCACATCGAAAACCGGCATAGCGATGGAAGAAGAAAGATTTTTGAAGATGCTGAATTGGAGGCATTACTTGATGAAGACTCGTGTCAAACTCAGAAAGAACTGGCACAATCATTGAAAGTGACTCAACAAGCCATTTCGACTCGAGGCGCCTCAAAGTCATGGAAATGATTCAAAAGCAAGAGTATTGGGTGCCGTACGAGTTGAAGCCAAGAGATGTTGAACGGCGTTTGTTTGTTTGTGAACAGCTGTTTGAAAGACAAAGACTAAAAGGATTTCTGCATCGCATTGTGACTGGAGATGAAAAATTGGTTCATTACAATAACCCCAAGCGCAGAAAATCATGGGGAGTTCTCGGCCATGCTTCCACATCGACGGCCAAACCAAACATTCATGGCTCCAAGATAATGCTCTGTATTTGGTGGGATCAGCTCGGCGTAATGTATTACGAGCTATTAAAACCAACTGAAACAATCACAGGCGATCGGTATCAAACTCAATTGATGCGTTTGAGCCGAGCATTGAAAGACAAGCGGCCGCACTACGCCGAGAGACACGAAAAAGTGATTTTGCAGCATGACAATGCTCGACCTCATGTTGCAAAAGTGGTCAAGACATACTTGGAAACGTTGAAATGGGAAGTCCTACCCCACCCGCCGTACTCTCCAGACGTTGCACCTTCGGATTATCACTTGTTCCGATCAATGGCACACGGCCTGACTGACCAACACTTCCAGTCTTATAAAGAAGTCGGAAAATGGATAGATTCGTGGATTACCTCAAAAGATGACCAATTTTTTCGACGCGGGATTCGTGCATTGCCCAAAAGATGGGAGAAAGTAGTGGCCAGTGATGGACAATACTTTGAGTCATAACTTTATCTCCATTTTTTTACAATAAAGCCTCAAATTAAAAAAAAAACGGCGAGAGCAAAGTTGTACACCTAATAGGTCTATACATCATTCCTTAGCAAAAATCGAGTTAATTTCAAACGCAAAATATTTATGGAAAAAATGGATTTTAATCAACAAAATATGTTCTATTCAGTTCCATGACTTTCTGTCATCTCTTCACCAGCATTATTATCCTTCTTTCATAGAAATCTTGAGATTATTCTGCGAAGATGTCATCCAAGTGGTTTTTGAGGGCGTTTAGGGAATTGACGTTTTTCTTATTGAAATTGTTCTGTAGTGCCTGGAACAAATGACGGTTTGAAAATGCAAGGTCCTGAATATACGATGGTGCACCAAAATATCTTACCTCAATAATTTTTCTGGATCTTTAGAGAAATGTGTGGTCTGACGTTGTTCGAGTGGAACACAACGCTTTTTCTGTTCGCCAATTCGGGCCGCTTCTTGTCAATTGCTCGCTTTAAATTGACCAGTTCTGAGCGGTATTTGGTCAAATCACTCGTTTGAGTGGCAGCAGCTCATAACAGGCGACTCTCTTCCAATTCCACCAGATATAGAGCATGACTTTCTTCGAGTGTAATCCAGCCTTTGCGACCGTCTGAACAACTTCTCCGTGCTTCGCCCATGCTCTTTTTCAACTGACATTGTTGCAAAAAGTCCATTTTTCATTGCCAGTGATTACACGTTTCAAAAATGGTTCGTTTTAATGGCGTTTGAGCAGTGAATCGCAAGCTGAAATTCAGTCCATTAAATATTTTTCGCTCAGTTTGTGCGGCATCCAAACGTCAAGCTTGTTTACTATCGCAAGCTTCCGTAAACGTTTTTAAACAGTTGTTTGGTGAATGTTGAGGTTACATCCGATTTGTATAGTCGTCCAATGCCAATCGGAGTCGATCAGAGCTTAAATTTAGTTGACATCAATGGTAACTTACCGACCAGAGCGAAAAGCGTTTTCGAGATTAAAATCTCCGCAAAATTTAGCAAACTACTTCCGACACACACACATATAACATTTTTTTCATACACGACTTATATCTTATTTTGTGTTTTTGTTGCGTTTTCGTCTTTTTGAAATTAAAAAAGCGAAATGCGCCGAAAATATACGTTTCTTTATTCCATTTTCTAAATATAATTAAAATTTGTGTACGCCACGTATCTCGATGAATACTTGTTTTAAAGTTTCGGCACGAATTTCATCTTTCATAAAATGTACGACACTGCATATGTGATACATGTGCGAGCTGCATATGTGATACATGTGCGAGCAAGAACAATTGCGAACATTTGTCAGAATTTCGCTACGAAACTACGCATAGATCCAATAAATTGTTCACGTCAAAGTACATTAAGTACGATGATAGTTTCAATAGATTGTAAGACTGCATATACTTGTTATTGGCTTGCGCATATCTACCGGAATATTGACTCAAGCCACCGCGTATACCACTTTCGATAAACAAGACCACATCGAAGTCGATGAGTAATTTGAAAATAACTTTGGTATGTTTTAACATGGCGTCCCACGTGAAACCCTGTAACGTATAATAATAAGCGTGATATAATCCGTAACTATTAATACAACTATCGCGGAAATTTTCAAAAATATCTGTCAAGAATAAGACATCACTTTTCAAATACAAGTTATATATATATAACTATATTCGCTAAAGGTTCGAATAAAAAATGGCTGCCAGATATTCGTAGCGTGCGCGTAATCGCTCTAGGACATTGTCTCACCCATCAACGAACTGTAAAATGATTTCAGCGATGGTAAACACAGATTTTGCAGCTTGTCTACACAATCGAGGTATTTGTACGGAAGACATCTTTTCTTGTCAATAAATCAAAATCTTCGACTGATAAGTTAGAAAATTCCGACCGGATAATTTTTAATTCGTCTTTATTGAGAGAAGATGTCAATTTGTCGAGACTGATATTTAGAAATTTTTACGAAACGATAAATCGTAACTATAAGTAATTTCGCAACTTTGACTTTTTAGCTGTATCTTGGACATTTTTCGCAAATAAAATATATTTTTGTTTAATTATTGGCAGCGCATTAATTGAGCTTTCAAACGCATTAGCTATTTCCTTTATAATAAAATGCGAATCGTAACCTAATTGTGAGCGAATGCACTTAGTTTCTCGCGTGCAATGCTCCGCTGGATCTGCCTAGCGCAGGGCACGGAATGCAAGGAAGGATCGGTGTGGTGATGGAAATTCTTTGAAATCGAGCTGCGGTTGTGCAATGGTTTATTCTTCTGTTAAGCCAGAATAGCGATCTGGCCTTTACAATGCAGGCGTGATGATGTTCTTCCTTTTCTTGTGCCACGCGTAACCGCAGTTACAAAACGCAACACGATTCACGTCGACGATCACAACGTTCAAATTTACAAATATGATTAAATGAAGACCGACAATCACTTGCAAAGTAGTCGCAAGGCCGCGAAAGATATCTCGTAACGAGATGCAGAGAAAACGTGAGATTGATGTCTCGCACGGACGGTCGAACCCGTAGCGAGCCGAGATACGCGAAAAATTAGAACCGAACAGCTTATTCTAATTCCGATTCGAAAAGTTTCTCTCTCTGAGAATTCGCTCAACGTTTCGTCAACGGTCTCTCGGTGCTCTCAAGGCACCCAGTTTATATACCGATATCACGTGCTTTTTTTCAAGTGGAACGAATAGATTGATCGACCTTCGATCGGACGAAGCCTTTTCGATCATGTTCAACTGTCGCAATGTTTTTTGATACGATATGACAATTAGGTGTTCTTATACTCGAACACGTGATGAGACACGCGTGTTTCATGTTTACTTATGTTGTTGTTGGTTAATAATCCGCGTGTTATTGTTTAGAGATCGTTTGCCGCATCATGCTCGGCTCACATGATGAGCATGATAACATTAACGATTTCCGTTTGAATTCAATTAGAATTTTGAACACTGATAAATTGTGATAAACTGTGAGAATAAAAATGAATTTTTATATTTTAAATTACAATTTGAATGAGCGGGACCTCTATAGCGACTGGTAAGATGGCCATAATCGCGCATTCTTGTATTATCTGCCTCGAATGGTTTTTCGCACATATGACAGTGCGTTGCGCAATAAAATGTCCCCCACTGATCTTTTGACAGTTTCCAAGGGATCATTAGTGGATAAAATATTCTTTACATGATGCGCTAATTGTTCCAACTGCTCGACAAACTACGATATGCAATTGGTATTGCAATGAAAATGATATCAGGATAATGAATTATCGTACGGGCAATGTGTGTGCAATACTCTATACTAAATATTTTATGATGTTGATATAAAGTACATTCTTTTGAGCTGTCTTTCGCAATCTTCTCCAGCGTGCATTCCAGGTCCGCATACACCACAAACGGGGCCTGCTCTTTCCCGCTGTAGTTGTTAATAATGAGCCACTTAGACTCGCTAGGTCACAGGATAGCGTAATCGTTTATCTCTCGACAATCTGCTGTATGAATCTTCAGTTTTTCCTCCGAATAAAAGAAATACAAACACCTGCAGACACATTTTTTAAATTCTTTTTCACGAGATATATTCAATTTTTTTTTATGAAATACTTACTAAATTTATACGTATCGTTCACAGATGTACTTTTTGGTTTTCTTCTTGTTTAGTTGTTAGCTCACCAGTCAGGACAAGTTATTTATCCAAATAAAATATCCAACGATGTTATCTCGCCAATCTGGTGTGTACAACAGGTTGATATGGTTGTCCATTGTCCGGTCAGTGAGACGTTTCGAAAAAATTGCCAGTCCTGATGTTTCCTTTTCCGGCTTTTTTTTAACGTTACACAAATTGATAGATTATCGTTCATTTGTTCGAATTTTGTTATATGTTTCACAGATATCGGAAATTCAACGTTCTCTAGATATAATACTGATTTATAATGTGGATACTAGGATATGCTATCTATATGTCTTTTAGTTGAATATAGAGCTGCGACCATTGTCCACGCAAAACATCCATTTTCCATGGATATCACATTGATCACTGCTCTTTTCAGTCATATCTTGCGCAGTAATGCGAAATGATAGTCTGCATGCATCGGATTGTACATGTTCACATTGACCATCAAATCGAGTATTCGCAACAATGCTCACCCGCGGTTGCGTTTTTGGAATTTTTCCAAAGACGCCTAGGGTGGGTTTGATCACATATTGTTTGTGCCACTCTTTTAAATCAGGTGTGGAATAGAGTTCACAGTTTCATATATTGATACTTTTGGTTGCGCGATTATCACCCGCGACAAACATATCATTAAACACGGTGTCCACTTTGAGAGTCCAGTGCGTCTCTCCCCAGCGTTTCGTACATGTTCCATCACTATGTTCTTTGCATCTCAGAGAAATCGTAGAGGTTCGATATAATCTGAATTTATAATCACGCCGGCTATTACGTAGTTATTGAAAGTGGTGTCGATTTCTCGCCACAAGAGTCTTGCATTAGAATGTCCAGCACCCGCATGCATAAAATATGTACACAATGAATTTTTTAGATCCTCGAATCGCACGATACGAGCGACTAACGAATATGCTGAACTCACCGAAAATCGTGGTTTTCTTCACTCGGCTGTGTCTCTCCAACGACTCGAGACATTCGTTGCAACGTTCTTCTCAAACACAGTACTCGTCTCGCGAACTCAATCGAGCAGACTGGTCTCACAATTCACGTTTAATTTGTGCGTGTTTTTCCATTTTCCCACTGGGTTTTTCGGAATAATGCGATATCAATATTTTAACAATTCAAGTATGGTCGCTAACGAAGAACACACGAATTTACATGCTGCACTTCACAAACAACTTAGATGTAATTCCGGGTTCAGTCTTTTGTGCCGGAAGTCGACAAACACACTGATTTTCTGTGCCGATCGTTGAGGTCACTAATGAAGTAGGAATTCTTTCGGCAGCGTCCGGTACGGACACAGGTCAACGAAGGGGTGATCCCGGTGATTGTACGCTTCGCGTGCAATTCGGTTCTATGTATTGGGCATTGTGAAGATTGTCTTGAAGGTGGATTGGCCATCAATGCCTTGGTGTCAGAACAGGATCTCCTGCGAATCGGTATTGTGACCAGCCCCTGGTGAGGTTACAAACGGAATCCTATTTCTTCTGTAGCGAAAAGTGCAGATCATCTTTTGCTAGGACTCGATGTTATCGCGGCGTTTAGTAACTCGTCTCTAGGTACGGATAATCCGTCTCTCCAATATCTACCTTCGGGTTGAGGAGATGTCACGTCCGGTGGCCGACGGCGGGGAGACTTCCTTCGCGGGGCATTGGAATCGGACAGGGAGAAGAAATGACTGGGCGGACCAGTATCTGGCTCTGGTTATCCTCTGCACTGCGGAAAGACGGGGTAACGACGACTGTCGTTATCGATATCGCGGAGGTCAGGCGCGTGGTACGTCTCGGAGAAACTTCACCACGCGATCAGGTGAAGGCCAATGAGTGACCGGTGGTCACCCGAAACATAGGCTGCACTACACCCGGATAGGTGTAGGTTACCATACTTCCTCGGCGGAGAAGTTAAGTTAGACGTCGACAATGTGGGTCGCTGAAGACATCCGAGCCTTTGCCTCAAAGTCCGCTCATCGCCGGCCAGGTTGCGACAGCCCCGCATGATTTTTATTCTCGGCAGCTGCTCGGACAGCCTCTTGTCGGTGTGGGGTAGTCGTGCGGTGTCTGGTCGTCCATGCTCGGGCTTTTGCTCCGCTATTTTCTGACTCCGCGAAGGTCAGAAGGTATTCGATAGCGAGTCGGTTGTCCTGATGTAGCTCGCCGGACGTTCCAGGCGTTTTTGTGTGTGCGGGTGTATGTGTGATCAGTGCATGGTAGTCGCGGTACATAGGGCGACGGCGGGGAGCGGGCGCGGTGTTATGTTCGTGGCTCCGGCGTATTTATCAATACATGGCTCACGTATGTCGTCGCGGTACTTTAAATTCGGCAGTTCGAGTTGACATGCATATGACAGGAATTACACACGGGTCGCGTTATTATGGTGCACTTGGGATTACGTAGTCGGTTGTGCACGGTAGCACTACGGGGGTCACTGCATGCGGTGTGCTCGTGTCAGTTGAGCCCCGGAGCGGAGGGCACGCGATATCGTACTCCTCACGGTAACGGCTTGGCCGGGCGAGCTCAGCTAGAGTGCAGCTGAAGACGGTATGGTTCGGTCGCAGTCGGTCGAAGGGTTTCGGTGACACCCTTGATACTACATGGTTCGTCGGTCGGATAGATGCACTTCGTCTTTGCAGCGTGGTTTACTGCGCGGAAGTCCGGGCCGCACGCTTACCCGGGAGATGCACTGCCCGATGACGTGAGTGAAGCGGGCGATGTCGAGAACTATTGACGGATACGGCGAACGTACCACTCCTACTCGTCTCTATATCCAGATCCGCGCCATGGGCGAGAAGGCCAGTAACTCCCGATGGAAACGGCGAACTCACCGTCCCGGAAAGGTGTTTAAAATCCGGCGCCCGCGACTTCCACGGAAGAGATG